CATCACGCTGATTGGTTAGCGTTTAGCAGATGCGAAAAGGGGATGAATGAATAAAACGCATGGTTCCGTGCAGGCTCACCTTTCTCCCAGTGAGCCTGTTCGCAGGCTAGGGCTATGATGGAGCATCTGTGGTTGCTGGTCAGTTGAATGGAGTGCAAAAGAAACTTTGAGAAAAAACTGGTTCTGAAATGGCCTACTACGTGCATTGCTACTGTCACAGATTAAATCTTGTAATTGTTGATGTGGTGAATTCGATCACGTGTGTGGCAAATATGATCGCTCTTATTAAAAAGATACATTCATTTCTTGGCACCAGCACTGTACATGTACGACGGGAGAAAGTGCAAGAAATCTGTGGCCTAAAAAGAGTGGAAATTGGAAATGTTTCCGATACGCGGTGGGCATGCCAGGCTAAACAGTTGAGTGCAATGGCAAGAAGGATCGAAGTTGTCCACAAAGAAATCAAGACGGAAGGAAGAAATCATTGACAATGACACTGATCGTGTTGTTGATGCGAATGGATTTAAGCTACAGATGGATCGCCGTTTTGTGCGATATCTTTTAGTTACCAAGCATATTTTGAAGAAAGCGAAGTTTGCCTCGGATATGTTGCAGAAGCCAACCAATGATCTATCCAATGCAATTGACCTTATTGCATCTCTTAACGAGGAAGTAGACGCCTGCCACTCACGAACGAAATGCCAGCAGTTTTGGGATGAAGCTGAAGATGTTGCCGACTGTTTAAACCTACCAGACGATGTACGACCAGTTCGAAACAGATGACCGCCAGCGGCTTTACGGGATTTTTATGTGGAAGCTAACATCGAAGAGAATCTCGGACAAGCAGGTTTCGATGAATTCATTCGGGACATTTACGAAATGGTAGACAATGTAAATGCAGAACTTAAAAAGAAGATTTGACGAGAAGAACATTGTTATAATGCAAGGTGTTACTTCATTGTTACCCAAGTTCTTCCAGCTTCCTAGATGAAGATTCGCTTGTGGCTTTTGCAAAGTTATTTAATGTCAATACCGATTGCCTACGCTGCGAAATAGCAACCTTTCATCACTTGCTTAAACAAAAGGACAAGGAAGATCACCCAAAAGGACTTCTTCAGATGCTATCTTACCTGGTGACATTAAAGGAAGCATTCTCTGAGCTGCATTGCATTGTTCTGATTGCCTGTACTTTACCTGTTTCATCAGCTGAATGTGAAAGAAGTTTTAGTTCAATGAAGCTGATAAAGAATGAACTCCGTTCAGTAATGAAACAGGAACGTCTGGACAGCCTTATGATGTTGGGAATTCACCGCGAGCGTGGAGAAAAACTGGACTTAGATAACGTAGTAGATAGGTTCAAGGCCAGATTTCCCAACTGCAGAATTTCACTTTGAATTTGGATGGGTTTTTCTGTGGGAGTTACTTATGGTCATGCATAATAACTACACTTCCTAAAATTTTATGTTTCCGCAAGGGACACACACTTCCTACTGTATAAACTTTGTATATTGATTCGTACATTTTATAAAGAACACATTATGCTTGCTCAATTGTATATTTTAGTTATATAAAATATGTTAGTATGTATTCATTAATTTCTACTTTAATACACATAACCACAAAAATATTTGCATAGCCATCCCCCCCCCCCCCCATCGGGGAACCTAGCCCCTGCGTCGGGAAATTTCTGGCGCCACCACTGCTTGCTCCTATCTGACACAAATGTAGTGACAAGAAGATCCCAACTCTGCATATCATCCCATACACCTCTTGAAGGCCAAAGGACTAATTTCAGCTTCGTTTCTCTGAATTAATTAATAATATGTAAAACATTGTAAATAAAATTTATGAATTTACAGTACATGACTATATAGTATAGTGTTAGGCCTGTAAACACAAATATGTTTATGACAATGATGTATAATCGATGCCACACTCCCATTAAGTTGCATTACGTTTGTTGGTCAAATGCCAGGCAATTTTAACAATCAAGAAGAAAGTGCTGGCACTCGATGTTTTATGGCAAAATCTGTGACATCTTTACGCATGTTTACATGATTATACATAACCCATGGGGTTAACAATGTGTCTTAATACACCCATGATTTTCATTTAGTGGTATTCTGTCTAATGTTAGACTATTTCAATCTTCAAGGAAAAACTCCATAATAATGGAGTACTGTAATACAAATCACTCATATTGATCATTATACTTCACAATTACTTGCCAAGATGACTGGAAATAAGTAATTACCTGCACAATGCCAAAGTGAATTATCATAGGTACACTGCAACAGAATATTGTTTACGCAAAATATTTCGCACTATGGCACATACTGTTGTCTGCCATCTCCTGCAACTACCACTCCATTGCAGCTCTCATTCTTCACTTTCTCCAATGCTTTCTTTTGATACTCCTCCCAGTATAGTTGTATTGTTGGAAATATCTTTCCTACAAAACAAATCTTTAGTGTATTTACATGTTTAATGAACTAAACTTCATATACAGGCCAGTGGCATAACTGGGCTTTGCCCAGTTTAATTAAGCCCCCTGAGCAAGGATGGCAAGGTGTGGAATTTTATGTACATGCCCCCAGCAGTTTGGATAAGCAAGACAAGAGGGTCCTGACTACAGTTTAAGTTGCAGGCCCTTTAGCACAACATTACAGTATGCTACTGATAGAGAAAAAAGGAATCCAACTCTAACAAAGCTTTTGTAGGTAGAGATGCAAGTAAGGCCCTGGACCTTCTTGAATTTCTTCTTATATTTCCCAGAATACCAGGCACTACTTACACTTACTGGCACATTCAAGACTTATACTGAATTGATTGGATTTATTTATTTATTTATTTGGATGAGATTTTTTTTTTCATATTTGTATTAGGGTTTTATCTGTGAATGACACTGTTTTTGTATCATGCCAAGCAAAAATGACCAAATACAGGCCAATTAAAAATTGCTGGTCAAAATTGCTTTTTGATTCCCACCTTTGTACATTTAAAGCATAATAAGTGTTAACAAAAGTGAATCTCATTCATCAACAATTATATACAACAATTATATGGAATTTATTTTTAAGGCAGATGGCTGAAGCAGCTACCAGCAGTGTGTGAGAAGTGAATTTCATTTATCAACAATTACATACAACAATTATATACTAAATGGAATTTATTTTCAATACTTTTGCATCCAATTCCCAATGTTGGAAAAATCAATTTCAACTGGCAATTTTTATTGTATGGTACTCCTACTTGGTCATTTTCTTTTATAATGACACAAACAGGCACCATTGGACAGCTAGAAGTTGCATTACATTTTTTTATATATACCATGCATAGTTTTCAGAAATAGCAAATTTTTACACTATAAGTGTATAGCTTTCCATAGCAACTACAAGTACTTTTAGAAATGTATTTTTAAAGGAATTATTAAAACAGAGAGATGTTGTTTCACTCAGCTTCTGAAAGTTGTACTGGACATTCAGTGTCAGAAGTGCTTTTTCACGCTGATACAGAAAGCTATCCGGTATAGTGTAAAATTAGCACCGTACTATTTAACTTACCCTCTGATATATGTAGTATGTTTTCAAACTGATGCAACCAAGTCCCATATGATTGAACAGCTTCACCACCTTTGCTGGTGATCCTCCACTCAGGGGAATTGATAAGCTTAACATGAAATTACCAGCTCTTATCTGTGAATTACCTGGCATATATAGCTGACTATGCCAATCGTTTTCTTGATTACATGAAGGGCAATTTAGACCTGACTGTAATACTTGTTCCACATTCTTTTAATTCAATCTCTGGATTGTCATACTTGCATATTTGGCAGAACTTGAACAACAGAAGTAAATGAGACAGAAACACAATGTGCTTTGGTTCTGTCCGGAGGTTTGTGCCTGCCAGGGGTAATCTACAATGTGATAGAAAACTAAGGAAGTTGTAAAATTAACCTCTTAATCAGTTGGAAAGAGACAGACACATAAAAACGTTTGAATGATTGGAGCGGACAGGGCTTTAGCCTTTAGGATGAGTAAAATGTTCTGGTTATAGAGAAAATTATGTGTTTCATAAAGATGCTTTACACAATGTCTTAATAAACAATGTCTTAACTGACCTGCCCAAGTCAACAGATTCTTCAGTCTCAGTTGTTCTGTTTCGTACTGGGAGCCACTTTCATATTCCAGTTCATCTTCTTCCATTTCATAATTGTCGCCATCATCATGTTCATCATTGTCAGTCGCACTAGTTTGCTCAGCTTCCTCAATTTGTCCTGCATTCTTGGCAGCTGTTTGCAGTCTGGCAATTCTCGATTGCAGGACGTTTACTGAAAGTGCAAATGAATGTGTTACAATGTGCTTTTCCAACAGCATTAGCACAACACTTCCTCAAAGTGGATTTAAAGTTAAAGTATGCATAGTCATAAAAATAAAAGAAACAGAATCCAAGAAAAAGTCTCCTGAAGCTCAATACATGTATGAACTACAGTAAACAAGGAATTTGTTTAAAGACCATGTAAAGTCTGTATAAATGTGTAAACAAATGCTTTGTTTACATTTTGAACTCAGGGCTACAGTTGTAAAATATGCATGATTAGATATATATTTATATACTGAATTTTTAACACTCTTCTGGTTCGCTATGCTTGTAAATGAATACAGACTAGAGATTCAATTCAAGAAAGTTAAAAAAATACGAAATATTAATAACATTCCAACGATCGGGTCCCGACCATTGGAATATAAGCCTGCGCAGAACAGACTTTACATGGTCTTTAAGATAATTGAATGACTGAATTATAGTTATACTTCCAACATATATTGACAGAGGGTCACTGGTATGAAGTTACTAAAGTTACTTAAAATCTTACTTTTTCTCCTGTACGTTTTCACTTCCTTACTTCGCCTTGTCACAATTCCCCTCAAAGTTTTAAGTTTGTTTGATAGTTTCCTATTCTCATTTGAAAGCTGTGCACATTCAACAAAAGCTGGTGACATATCAGGTTCATTGGCTGGCCCAGGCTCTAAAAATATATCACCAATCATACAGGTTTCCTCCTCAGAATGACCAATCTCTTGGCTTGTGCTTGGAATGGCTGATAGTTCTATTGGGGCTTCCTCCACAGAATGACAAATCTCTTGGCTTGTACTTGGAATGTCTGACAGTTCTACTTCTGTGGAGGTGGTTGTCTCAGCAGTTGGTTTTTCCTGTGAGGATATTGCTTCTTTCATGATCTATAAAAATAATTCATATCACATATCAAATTACACCTATAGCAGTTATATTAAATTGTCATCAACACACTCTGTATAAAACCAAATGTTCTTCTTGACGTTGTTTACTGTGTGTCAGTTACAAACTAGATTCAGTTGATTATTAAACAAGTTAAAATCACATCATTTAAGTTTAACCATATATTTAATCACATCATTTTAGCTCATCCATAAAAATCAAATGTAAATACAACATTTAACATACCATTCTTTTGTCCCTATGTGAAAGTTCATGATGTTGTGCACCACCTGATGGCATTATAGTTGGGAATACGCATATCCCAAGCTCGTCTCTTTTAAGTCATCTACTACCAACAGAGCTTTCATCTCCTTTGACACGAGAAAACAGAGGTGAATAATCTTCAAGCTTGAAGTGCGCTGAGCATATAATTGAATACGGCGTTGGTGACCATTTAGCATGTTTAAGATTTACAAAGTCAACTCACTTTTTGCATCTTTTTTCCACTTCGGGCCGTTCGTCCCCCGAATAAGGTATAACATGAACCAATATACCTTTTGTTTTGTCTCCTATATTGCCACAACCGGCAACAACGCACTTTTTCGGCATTTTCTCAGTGTAAAAGAGCTGTCACATGCCTGGTGCAATAAAACTTTATAGTGTTTACAATTACAGTGTTTTCATTGTGTTCACCTAATGACGTCACAAAGCCACACCCCAGATGGTCGGTCACAGAACAAAATTGTGTCAATTTTAGCACAAATTTTGCAAGTTTGAAAGGCCATAGAAATGCGAAAATTTAACCAAATGAAAAAATGTTTGCAGCTTTGTACTCCATAAATAGCGGTAATTTATTTTATGAAAAAAAATATTAGGTTGTTAGTGGGCACTTTAACCCATTGAGTTGCATTGCAACCCATCCTCGTACCCAGGGTCTTTTTGGGAAAGACCCTGGTATCGGCTGGTCACGTGACTCTACAAAAATTGATTGCCCAAGGGGAGTGGCAAAGTATCAAATTACATGCTTCCACAGAAAACGTTAAATTTCAAATACCAGGAGTGGGATTTTACGATATATAGTTCGAAGCGCCCGCTAACTTCTATTTTATACCTCCGTTTGCTTTTAAATTACAAAAACACGGTAGCATTTTATTAACAGTTAAGTCAAGAAACAAATAAAATGTAGGCCTATACTTTAAACTTTAAAGTTGGGTATTCCCTTGAAACATATTTTCATATCAAACTGGTCAGTCCTCTACGTTTGTACATTTTCACTTTTATCTGTTCCGAAAATATGACATTAGATTTCTTGTTTGAAAACGTTGATAAACTTGGTGCAGATTTACTAATAGTACGCATATCATTTTATGGTGAAGGTTGATAAAATTTTGAAATGTAATTAACTTTTTGTCACAAATCACAATGTAAACATGTGGACACTGCCGAACAGAGACTAAATGCTCACTTTAAAACTGTCAATGGTTTATCTTTGAAAATACTTTTAATTAAATAGTTCGTCATATTTTTTAGAAACCCTGTAGATCGGTAGGGTAGGAGGTCGGCAGGGTAGTAAAGTACAACAATTTTCAGCCTCAGGGCGTGTATCATCAGGTGGTACAGTATATACAATCACGGCTTTAGGCTGATAATTTTTTGGCCTCCATGCACTAGGTAATGGGGTAACAGCAATATTTATAACAGTATTTTTCTGATATACAGTACACACACTTTATAATATGAACATAGTCATAGATAATTCCATAAACCACGGAATAAACAACGGCATAAACCACTACGGCATAAACACTGATATCACACTCAGTCTGATATGCATATGCAGTCATATATAGTCATATATGTACCCACCACAGATATATTAATTAATACTTACATAGTCTTAGAGTTTGATTCAGTACTATATTTCACAAAGTACTCCATTACAGTAAAGTAATTTCATTACAGTAAAGCCAATGTCACAATTAAAGCTATTTATCAAATTTATCATGAGGACAGTCTGCATTCTCTAAATGTCCTAATATTCATATTTGTAACATACACCCACAGACGAGTCTTTCACTTATCTTTGAGCAGGCTATTGTCGGATTATTTTACCGTAGGTTTGATAACAGGGAGGTATACTTCGACATATTTCTTGAGCATCAAGCTCTGAGGATGGTTCTGAAGTTTCAGCAGTGAGCAGTCCGCGTAGCATTGCCATTGTTTACAAAGCAACATAGTTTGCGATATTTCAGAAATCAAAAGATCTCTATATATTTCGTTACACATCTCAGTATTAAATAAATCCTTTAGGATAGACATCAACAGCTAAATAACAGCCACATCGGTCGGTACTGGTGTAGAAATATATTTTCTTGTAACGTTTGCGACGTGTTGATTTCTTCGACGACCTGTATCGGCATAATTTGTCTATTGAAATCTGATCTATCTTTGCTCACCAACATTCTGCGCACAATGAAATTTGATATTTTCTCTTGTGTAACATTGATAGTCTTCGTGACAAATAAAATATACAATTTTGTAAATATTTCCTGCATGATTTCTGGGTTATTTCTTCGCTCACTCCTTGCTCAATGACAAAACGTACTTAGGTACCCACCCTAATTGAAATTGTTTGTTATCTCCCAGATTCTGGGAGACACGTGACCAGCCGATAGCAGGGTCTTTCCCAGCCGGTGGAAAGTCCCTGCGACGGAGGTTGGTTCAAAGTATGGCATGATAATTCCATATCGAAACATAACATATATATATATATATATATATATATATATATATATATATATATATATATATATATATATATATATATATATATATATATATATATAAAACAAAACAATTGGAGTTCTCCATGATAATCCTGGTCAGGCTGTGTTACTGTCAAGAGTGCATGAGCAAAACAATTAGGAGACAAGAAAGTGGAAACTACCTAATTTGTTTGGAAGTATGGTTGTCACCAACCGAGTTCTTCCATTGGGTGTTTCATCAGCACGCGGAAAGACCTCCTAACCCAACAATGTAACTTCAGTATAATTACACTGCATCACTACCACGAGTTTTATATGCTTTAGTAAGGGAGCGGTCATAAAGTAAGTGCTACCCCGGGGCGGAGGATATTGGGATGGGGTTTGAAATTTTTTTCAGGGATCTGGATGGGGTATGAAATAAATTTATCACTTTAAAAAGGGTTATGAAACAAAATTTGTTTGTTTCAATACAAAAATTGTGTTAATACAGTTTAATATTACGGCTCCGTTCATGGTCCAAATAATTTTTCATACATCACTGCCATGCATCATTGTCTCATAAAAGACTTGACCGTTGCTCAAGTAGTCTCCCTTGCAGTTGCTCTTTGTGTTGTGATTTTATTCCTCTTCATGAGCTTGTGTGGAGGAGTACATGATGACACAAATATTATTCAAAGAATGGCTGTAAGAGAGACTATTGTACCGTATATTTAATACACAGTGTAATAATTTTAAACCCTATTTGTACCGGGGGTGCGCACAATGAGAGCACCCAAATAAATATTTATCCGTCATCCCTGAACAAATGAACCCATATTTGCTTTTCTGAAAATTCAAAGTTATCCGGACGTTTGACGACATTTGTCAAACAAGGTGTCGGGGCCAAAAATGGGAAAATGTGGGTTGGACAGTATTTTTTGGCTGAATCACTTCCAAAGACATAAATAACATAATATAATTAGAGAACATATAAAGATGGATTATTACACATGATTTGCAAAGTAAAATATCCATAATATATTATATAAAATAGTAAAATATAGTATAATATATAATATAGTATATTATAAAATACTTATATAATATAAAATACTTATATAATATAAAATACTTATTTA